ATATTAAATAAAACATGGAATATAAATAAAAGGTAGGAAATAAATAACTAGACTAAAGAAGGCATCCGGTCGTATTTCTGCATAAACGCCAATGCGATCTCGTCTCCATCACTAAACCAAATACTTATTAAACAACATAATTAATGTAAACTCAAAAGCTTCATATTTTCACGACGAATTACATAAGAATCTCAGTCACATCCAACTATAATTTTTAATTATAAAACGGAACTTCTCATGGTGATAAGATATATGAAAGTTCTATGATGTTATATGTTCTCCAAAATGAAACCACGAAATATCCAATCTCTACAATGATGAGCATATACTGTTTATATCTTATCGAATGCATACATTTTTCAAGAGAACATGTTATTGAATTTGACTGAACAAAGAAAAACCCTCATTAACCAAAATATATTTAGATCCTGAATTATAATATCATTAAAAAAATATAAAAATAATAATCAGAACTGAAGCAAGCATAAAGGAAGTAACGCATCCTTGTGTGTGATAGTAGTTTGTACCATGGTGGCAGTGTGCATTCAATGGCCAATGGTTCTACTACAGACATAGAAAGTGGAGCAACAACAACAAAAAATATCTTTTATGCCAGCAAGCCAATAGATAGATGGGGGTGGCGAGTTCATGAGAATCAAACTTTCAAAACTTTATATAATAAACTCATCTCGTTCAACAACAAAACGATAGCCTCTATGTGGTCTTGTTAGATCCAGAAAATAACAAAAGCAATCCGGTAAAATTAAAATCACAAACTTGTCCATTTATACATTTAACGAAGAACTTTGAAAAAACTCGTAAAATTTCCACAATCCCAAACCATATATAAGAAAAAAAAAATTGCAGAACTCTCAAGTGAAAAATGGAACTTTAAGAAAAATAATAGAACATCGTCGAATGACTCGCAATTGTCTACCTTCTCGCAACGAACTCTGGCTAGCGAATCTTCTAGATCAAAACCCATGTCCCTATTCTTGTCTGGTTGAGGTTGTGATAAGCGACTTCAAATATAGGCACATCTGAAATGATAATAAAATACATTATAGCTTCAAATATAGGCATTTAAAATTATAATAAAATAAATAATTAAACTTGCTATACGACAAAAACTTAAAAAGAAAAAAATAAAATAAAATTGAGGAAAATTAAGCTTAAACCTTATGCACAACTAACAGAGAAAAATGTATTACTGGAATGACACGGAGATCCAGGATTTATGTCATAAAAGATAAAACGCTATGAAGTAGATAAAAAAGTTGTGATCAAACTATTAAAGGCCTAAAATTTGGAACAAAAATCATGTGGCACAATTTCATAAATGTATTGTAACTCTCGTTCTCCACCTTGTGAAACCTAATTAGTAAGAACAAATAAATGAAAATATCTTTCCATCTCAATACCATAATAAGCAACATGTGATTGTTCTCCTGTTTGACGAAGAAACTTGATATTCCCCTCATTTTCAAAGGCATTGTGAAACAAAAAGAGGTAAATATTAACATAGAATAAAAATCAAATTCATGTTCAATAATAGCTTGAACCTTAAATTAGATCGAGACCATAAGCAGATCAGTTGAGGTCCGAGAAAGTAGCAAACTTAAATTGAAAAGCACGACTACTAGGCTCAATGAATGCCAACCGGCTCGTGGAACTTGCAGCAAGAGATTTTATGCCGCAATCTGCACAAGAAAGCACCTCATATATATCTAATCTATTAACAATAAACTGTAAATGGAGTTCAACATGCTTATCCCAATAGTTCAACATGAACCCTAATGAACATAATCAGAAAGTGGAGGCTCATCCCATAAATCTGATAGACATGAGAAACGGCCTTACCAGGCTGCTGCTGTTTATTACATACTTCGCCACCCCGCATACTTATGTAGGAACAAAATCCTTGCACTGTTTATTACATACCTTGGCACCCTGCATATGTCTAAGCCCTTCTAAACTCCGAAACCCTCAGCACATCATGGTACAACGACCTCCTTATATGTACACAAACTAAAATCACCACTCCATTTCTAACTAATTAATTAATAAGTTAATTCAAAGAAATGAAAAATAATCACGCAACAAACCAGACCACCTCAAATAAATAAATAACAATAATAATAATATATTTGCTACCTGAATTACTTGGTGATAACAGTGCGGACGACCGGAAATAGAAACATAAGGAGTTGGCAATGCAGTCGATGTGGATCCGACTGCTGAATAGTTTTTCCAGCCATGGCGGCACGACATTGTCCACTAAGAGAAGGGGAAAAATAAAGTGTGTAAACTAACAAAAAATAAGTTTGCCTAGGCTTGTAACTTCTAACAATATATTGCCATACTCGGCACTTATACGAATAATACGACCAAATAGATCATAAGCATTTTCTGAAATTTTAGCCCACCATCCAACCTGAATTGCAGGTCTAGAGAAAAAAAAACACCAGAAT